ATCAGACGATACACATATGTGGTCCCAATCTAGCCATACCTTAAACCTCTGACTGTGAAAAGATTGTATGGGCACATTTTATGCAGGGAATTTAAATCTGACATAAACGTGGAACAGTTTTTCAGTGACTCCCAACTCCAGAAGGACACAAAAATCTAACCCATAGAATGCAAAACAATGAACTTTTATAAAACACAGGTACAAATTCAATTGGTGTCCACACTTTAGAAAGGTGAAGATTTAGAGAATATACTGAAGAGATTTAGGAGATGGATTTCAGCTATGAGTTACAGAAGTTAGCATTGTTCTCCCAAGAGAAGAGAAAGTTGAGAGGATATTTGATTGAGGTTTTCAAAATCAGGAGGGTTCCAAACGACGACATAGTGAGAAACTATTTGTAGAAGATTTGAGGACTAAATGAGACATATTACCGATGATAGCCTAGACCCTAACTTTTTCATATTTGAAGGCAAGTGTAAGGTGCTGTGTTCCAGATGCAAACTGATTGGTTACACTACTCAGTTTTCAGCAAAACACACTTTATTCTTGCCCAATAGCTAAACTACACACAAAAGAAAGAAGAATTGGAATAACTTGACTTCATTGGAAAACTTAAACAAACGTAGATTATTTAATGACTAAACAGCAAATATTCCAATATAGTAACATCTTATAAACACCCCATTGGCAAAAGGAAATTCAGTAAAACATATTGTAGGACATGCAATTTTGGCAAAAGAGAGAACTTCAGCTTTTGGCTGTAGTAAAGAGAAAAATAGCAGCTTTCACAACGAGCTTCCAAAAAGCCCCAACAAATGCTGAAAGCTAAACTAAAACCCTTATTCTGTGGGAACCTGACTCTACCCTACATGGGGCTTCTATTGTTCCAACTTCAAACAAAAAGGCCTCATAAGCTATTTAATTTATTAGCTTGGAGGACTCAGCTTGGCACCTCTGGCTCAAAACCTCTCTTCAAAAAAAAAATCCGGACTAAATATACCTCTTCAAGCTATAGGATTGTCACAAGGTCATCAATTCATAAAATTGTGACAAGCCTGATTGTAGTCTTAATGCCATTTTCCTGCCTACCTTTCTCCCCCACCCCCACCATAACCCTTGAGACTCTTACCAATCAAAAATCTGTCTGACTCAGCTTGGAATATATTCAATAACCAAGGCTCCACAGCTAGCTGAGAAGAGAATTCCAAGGACTGATGGCTTTCTGTGAGAAAAATAAGTTCCCCTCAGTTTTTTTCTTAAATTAGGGACCCATTATCTTGAAACTGTGCCCACAGTCCTCGAATCCCCCACCAGAACAAATATCTTTTCAGTATTTGTCCCATTAAACCCACTCAGAATATTATGCTTCAATAAGATCATCCCCCATTCTTCTATATGCCAGTTAATTGAGGCCCAATTTACTTGGCAATTTAATAGATCAAAAAAAAGTAGAGTGCAAAAGAGAGATAGCAACCCCTGAGGAGGGAATTCTCATCTATTAAATAACTGTAAGACCACAAGACCATAAAAAATAGGAACAGGTGTAGGTCATTTGGCCCCTTGAATCAACTCCACCGTTCAATAAGATCATTGCTGATCAGACATTCCTCATGTCTACTTTCAAGTGTTTTCTCTGCAACTGTTGATTTCCCTACTGATTAAGAATCTATCTGAACCTTAAAATATACATGAGTACTCTGTCCCCACAGCTCTCTATGGCAAGAAGTTCTTGAACCTTTGAAAGAAGAAATTCCTTCTTGTTTCAGAGTTAAATTGGCACCCCCTAATTCTGAGACTATGCCCTCCGATCCTAAACTCTTCCGTGAGGGGAATGTCCTCCCAGCACCTTACAAATCATATTTGGTTCAATGAGATCACTTCTCATTCTTCTAAACTCCACTGAATTGTTTTAACCTGTTTAACCTTTGCTCATATGACAATTCCTCTATACTAGGGATCACCTGAGTGAACCTTCTCTGAATTGCATCCAATGAAATGATATATTTCCTTAAACAAAAGGATCAACATGGCTCACAGTATTCCAGATGTGGTCTCACCAGCACTTTGTAAAGTTGCAATAAGACTTCCCTACTCTTCTACTACAACACCTTCGAAATAAGGGACAACATTCCCTCAGCCTTCCTGATTACCTTCTGGAACTGTGTGCCAGCTTTGCATTTCATGCACAAGCACCCCAAGTCACTTCATGTTTCTGCTTTCTGCAGATTTTTTCCATTTAAATAATATTCTTTTCTTTTGTTCTCCCTTCTGAAATAAGCAACGTCACATTTTCCCACATTACACTGTATTTGCCAACTTTTTGCTCCCTTATGTAACCTATCAATATCTCTTCGTAAACTGTTTGTGTCCATCTCACAACTTGTCTTCCCACTTATTTTGTGTCATCTACAAATTTGTCTGTGGTACATTTGCTTTCTTCCTCCAAGATATTAATATATATTGTAAGCAATTGTGGGACTTGATAGATCAGGCACAGAGATTCTTTCTGGTAGTCACAAATTCTAAAAGATGGGGGGATAATCTTTGAGTAAGAGGCTGGTCATTTAGGACTAAGTTGAGGAGAATTACTTCACCCAAAGGATCGTGAATTTTTGGAATTCTCTCCACCAGAGGGTTATGGATGCTCCATCAATGAATGCATTTTAAGGCTGGTGTAGACAGGCTTTTGCTCTTTTGGGGAGTGATAGCATATGGGGAGCACCTGGGAGGGCGCAGGTGAAGTGCCAGGTCATCAATAAATATATTGATTGGCAGTGCGAGCTCAGTTGACCTTATGGCCTATTCCTGCGCCTAGTTCTTGTGAGTGGTTAGAATCCTAAACAAAGATGCCCAAAAAGGAGGTGGAAACAGATTCAATCATGTCATTCAGAAGAAAGTTGGAACTCAAAAGGGATTGCAGGGGAAAGATTTGCAGGCCTGTGGAGAAAAAGCAAGAGAGTGGGAACAACAGGGTTCCTCTTGCAGGGAACCAACAATGGCTGAATAGCCTCTTTCTATACTGAAATCTGTTCTGTAGTTAGAGTCATAGAGTAATACATCACAGAAACAGACCCTTTGGTCCAACTTGTCTGCACCGACCAGATATGTTAAACTGATCTAGTCCCATTTGCTAGCATTTGGCCCATATCTAAACCCTTCCTATTCATGTACCCATCCAGATACCTTTTAAATGTTATAGTCATACTCGCTTCCAACACCTTCTGTAGCAACTTATTTCATACACGCACCACCCTCTGCATGAAAAAGTTGCCCCTCAGGTCTCTTTTATATCTTTGCCGTCCTACCTTAAATCTATGCCCCCTAGTTTTGAACTCCCCTGGCCTGGGAAGAAGACCTTGGCTATCCACCCTATCCGTGCCTCTCATGATTTTGTAAACCTCTATAAGGTGTCCCCTCAGCTTCCACCGCTGCAGGGAAAAAAGCCCCAGCCTATTCAGCCTGTCTCTATAGCACAAACCCTCCAAGCCTGGCAGTATCCTTATAAATCTTTTCCACAACCTTTCAAGTTTTAAATCTTTGCAATAGTAGGGAGACCAGAATTGAACACAGTATTCTAAAAGTTCTGTCATCTGACTCCACCCCTACCTCAGCCTATCAATTCACAACCTTATTACTCCCTTTCTTATAACTAGACTAGACTTTTCCACTGCATTTATGACCAGTTTCACACTTCCTATCCCTTGTAAACCTGAGGTCAACCTTATCTCTGCTGCCTTTATCTTGACTCAAACCAAGATCTGTGACCCATCTTTCTTCTATATGTTGATCTACGTCAGTGTTGGTAATGTAACAGCTCAATTTTAAAATTGCAATCTTTGGTTTTTCAAATCCTTTCACAACATCACATATACCGACCTCTATTAATGGCTCTAGACCAACAACTATCCAAGATATCTGCAATCCTTTAATTCTGACCACTTGATATCACCAGATTTAATCATTCTACCATTGATGGCCATGACTCCAGCTGCCAAGAACCAAAGATTTGGGATTCCCTCCTTAGGGCTTTCTGTCTCCAGCTTTCTTTTCTCCTTTTAAACATTCCTTAAAATGTTGACCAAGTTCTTGATCATCTGTCCTAACAATTCCTTATGTGTAAAATTATGCTTTTAAACTTCCTGTGACTTGCTTTGGCCCAATGTAATACACTAAAAATGCTTCACAAATCCAAACTGTGTGTCAGAGATGACGTCTTCCATGTAACGTGTAGAAATGAAGTTGCACTTTATTGCTTGAGCAGACATGGAAGAATTGTTAATATATGAAAAAGAACTACAAGTTCTCCAATCATTTTGGCCAATGTTTATCCTGTGATAAATTATCCATTCACTTATTTCATTGCTGTTTGTGGAACCTTACAGTTCCCAGATTAGCTGATGTATTTACCTACATAACTACAAAGATTACACTTCAAAAATAACTTCTTAGGTTGCGAAGCTGTTTAGATATATTGAAGAATTGAAAGGTGTGTTTTATAGGCAGGTTCTGTCTCTTTTTTCTCTTATATACTTTTATTAGAGTGCAGTTTCTCCCTGTATTGTAAGAAAAAATTGGTTTGCAATTCTTGAGTAAACTGTGCTGCATTCAACTATGCTGTCTATCCACTGTACCCAGTGATGTTGTGAGAACACATTCTGATAGATCCTCGAGGAAGTTGTTATTAAAAGAGGAGAACTTGAAAACAAACTAGTGATGAAAACGTATTGGTAATGTTTCTGAAATGGATCACCTCTCCCTTTTTTGACACATAACTAATGGTGGAACTGTGGAGCCTTGGTCCAACACTGCATATTGTTTTGATTAAATCCCTCCATCCTTGGCAATTACCACTATTTCTTTCATTCTACAATTCTACAATTGTACAATTCTACAATTAAAATCTTTCTCAATGTCTAAGGTTAGAATCACCTTTGTAACTCATGTACTAGTAGTCATCATAGTCCCAGAGGACTACAGAGTTGCTTTCTCATTAGAGAGAAATGATTGGTGGTGAGCTTAAGCTGAGGGTCACCACGCCTCAGGTAATGGGCAAGTTCAAAAATACGGGACCTTCATGGTGACCTCAGCTGGTGCAGGATTCTATGTACTATAGATGCTCCTTTATCTCTTATCTGTTTCTTTTTTTTTATTTTGCACCTTTTTCTTACCTTGGCATGTTTTCTACATCGAGCACAATATATATAATAGCTACTGCTTTGTTGATGTTTTGGGATGGGACAGCATTTAAAAAGCCAACTCCAAGCAAAATCTTAGACTAAAAATGCTTAACTTTTGTCACAACTTTATCCCTGTGACTTATTGAAAGTCCTTACTCAATTATGCCAGCCGTGGGAGGCTAGGTATATTCTTTTTGGGATGAAAGTATAGAAAGATATCAGAAAGTGATCACTGTCAGTTATGGAAGTTTATCCCAGATTGTAAATGATGCATGGCATAGAAGGAATAAAACTTGTTGCTCTTTTGAAAACCAGTACTTGAAGAATTAACATAGTAGGGCAATAACTCTCACATTTTTAATTACATTGCCAGATCCAGAGAAGGTGGCGTGGATATTATGTTCGAAAGTGCATCCATAATTACTATGACATGAAAAAGTATTTCAAAGGTCTTAGCGTGAAAAATGAGATTGTAAGGTAAGCTCCTTCAGTTTAAAATGCAAGCTTATGATCATGATTTATTTTTCATTTGTACTTGTTTAGAGACTTACATAATTAAAGATCTGAACAATTACAAAATAATACATAGGAATTGAAATTCAAAATATTTTATAGAACGATTATATCCATATAAGATTTGGAAAAGGTAATGGCCTAAATCTTCCAATCTCCAGATAGTATGACTGTGGATAAGGGTCAGGACCCTGCAAAAATCCCAACTCAGTGGTTTCCATGGAAACTGCCCAGGAAATTTGACCTTCTGGAGGAATTTCCCTGTACTCAGGTACCATCTGCAAAAGTATCTGACTCTGAGCAGTTCTAATGTACTTACTCAGAATTTTTCCCAGGAAACATGAGAGTAAAAATCTAGTCTAACTCTGAGGGGGTTACACAACTGACCCTCTAAGATCCCTACCTACCCAACTACAGTACTCCTCACAACTAACACTTTTTTTTATTACTTGATTACCCCTGACTTAACTCCTACCTAACTGCTCCTCCTGACCCAATCTGTTAACCACAAGTCACATCTTAACATACAGTCAGCAAGCACCTTAAAAAATGGAACATTGTCTTGTCTTTGCTCTAACTGAACAGTATAATGATGGTGATATCTAAGGATTGCCCTGCTCTGCATTTCTGGGAATGTTTGACTCGGCGCACTGGGCAGGGAATGCAGAGCAACATTGCAGTGGTTTAAAAATTGAGCACAGTAGAAGTCAGATGAATGACAGTCCTCAAAAGATCCTGGCTAATGCAACAAAAAGGTATAGTTATGTACAATTATTGACATATTCACAACAAACAGATGAAAAAGATTGTCTTCTGGTGTTCTGTCTATTTTTGGTTTCTTGTCCCATCTTATTGCTGATGGTGCTGATGAGATACAGTACCCAGCTCTCAGCTGAAGTGGAGAGTAGTTGCACCAAAGAGTGTGATGCTGAGTCATATGAACAAGGCAATTTCTAAAAAACCAAAAAGGAGGTACTGTACAACCAAACATCACCTAATTTCAGCATAATGGATTTACCTGAAGTTTGCCAGGAATTTTATTCGCTGCTTGATATGACCTGCCAGTCTTTGGGACATACATGACATTACTTCAGCAGTGAAATTTAAATAGTTGAAACAGGGTGCATCATAGCCATCTTGCAAAATAATGCTACCTTGATCAGATCGTTTCTTGCTACAAATAGCACAAACTCATGAATGGCTTTTAGATCATTGCCTTTGGTTTTGAAAAGTGCCCAGTCTACCTTAGATCGCCCAAAAAGGATAAGGTACTTTAAAGGTTTGAACAATTGATGAAGCTGGCTTTCTTAGACTGCTACTGTACGGTAACAACAAAAGTAGTGGTTGCTGCAAACAGGATGCTGCTGTCAAGCCAATAAGATCTTATACTTATCACATAAATAAAAATATGAATTTCAGTTCCAGTGTAATGCCAAGTATATAGTCTGGCAGGTTGTATCAAATGGTGTATCCCTTTGGCTGTTTGTAGTGGGCAAGTTTGCAGTTGGACTATATACAACAGGCCTAAGCTTCCAAAATTCACAACACAGTGTCCAACATTAAACATGATTCTGAAATTGAACATCATTTGCTGGATAATCTTGTATATGCAAATAATTACGCTGGCAACCAACTTAGAATGTGGTATACTAGCATATACCAGAGGGTACATATGTAAATACACCGGACCCTATTGTTTCCAGACAGAAGTTACTGCACCTGTTTCAACTCAACAAAATAGGTGACAGCCATTCAGAAGTATGTTGATTAATGCATTGCCCTGACAAATCACAGTCAACCTGCTGGTTTAAAATTTAAACAAAGCCTGACAGTTAATTGTCAATCATCATGTATTGTATTATTTCATGGCAACACCTCTAGCATTCAGAGTCTGCTTGAAACCAATCAGCACTCTTCTCTCGTACTTACCCTTAAATTGTTAAATCTGAATCGTCCTGATGAGTGCAAGATGAATATCTTTGACAAATGAGTCTCCTTTTTTCAGCAATATCCAAATAATTATTGGTTAATTATGGTCCCAGTTTCACTAACTTGTCATTCTGTGTAGGCAAAATCTTATGGATTCCGCTCCATCCCAATCATTTTGGTGAAATGTTCTTGCCAACGGACAAATCCTTGTTCTGCATATTATTGTAAGTGGAACACTTGAGACAAAAGGTTCTGAGAATGTGTCACCATAGCAGCAGGCAGTAGTCCACTCACTCTTGGAAATGTTGCAGTTGAGCTTGTTTTTATGTTTTCTTTTCATTCAGGAGCAGGCAAATGAGCTCAGCAGGATGTTTATGCATACATTCTAATAGACAAGATTGGCATAACTAGTAACTTCTGTAACATTAAATTCAAGAAACTCCTAAACAGTCCCTTCAAAAGTGTTATGTTTGCACAATACAGACTTTATGGAGTGTAAATTCATATAAAGAAACAAATAAAAAACATACACCCTGCTTAAAAATTAAAAAGTAAAGGTCAAGTGACTCTTCCTTTTCAGGCTAATGTACACTGAGTTACACAAGGCCCTGGAGTTAATCATCATGTCTGGAGAAGACATTAAAATGTAAACAAATTTTTAGGACATCTCACTTAGAAGGCTTTAAAATACAACAAACCTTTTTTTTGGGATTAATAGCTAACTTTATTCAAGTAATTACAGAAACTTCTTCACAGTGGCCTTGCAGATTTTCAGCTTTGGAGTGGAATTGCAAATAATGGGTTTGGATAAAGCCCCGCATTGTCACAGCAATATGTGAGTGTGAAACTATTGAGTATCAATGCCAAAGTCATCAGACATCATTTTTGAATAATGGAAGACAAATACTATGGTCATGTGGCAGAAACCAGGTTTCTGATCAGGACATTTAATTAGGCAGCAAATGAAGGAGGACCAGCAAACGGACCAGACGGTACTTAAGATCCAATAGGAGGCAGAATATTTGGGCTGTTTTTACCCACGTAATTGAAGAGCAAATGCAATTTTTTGCAGTAGGGTTTGAATGTACTTCAACTGGAGAAAAGCCAAGGAAACTTTGTCCTGCAGGTAGTTAACCATTGTGGATCCATCTTCTTCAACCTGCAAAATCTATTTCTTCAGTGGGCCAAAACGAAATCACAAGCCTTCAATGTTTCAAAGCTTCTCAGGAAAAGCAAGTGCAACAGTGACTTTTTTGCAGAACTTTAAGGCAACATGTGAATGCTTATATATTTGTAACCACATTTTCTTGAGTGTGTATCAGTTTGAGGGTGAGTGCTATTTGCAATTAATTTAGGGTAGAGGCAATAAACATTTATACTGTTTAAAACTTGGATGAAAACTTATTATTATCACTTCTTGAGAGTCAGATCAGTCAGAGGCTGTTAAAACAGTTTTCTCTTTTAAACATTTTTTTTTCAATTGACTAGAAAAATAGGAAACCATCTTGCCATGTCTCTGCTGTCTATAACATATCGTGGGCTCATCCGGGATTTGAAAGATTACATTAGCGAATTGAAGGCAGGAGGTAAACTGGATACAGCAAAAATTAATCAGCAAGTTTTCTTGTTGTTTCACTGTGATCAATACGCATGCTGGCCAAGTTTGACACCAAAATTTTTGCACAACAGAACGGATAAGGATCATCAACATGGCTTTGTGAGTGGGAAATTGTATCTTACTTACTTGATTGAGTCTTTTGAAGAAGTGACAAATAAGATTGATAAAATCAGAGCAGTGGATGTTGTGTATATGGACTTCAGCAAGGCATTCGACAAGGTTCCACATGGTAGACTGGTTCAAGATTATATCACAAGGAATCTACGGAGAGCAAGCCATTTTGGATACAAAATTTGTGTGAAGGTAGAAAACAAATGGTGGTGGTGAAGGGTTTTTTTTGGACTGGAGGCCTGGCACCAGCAGTCTGCCATAACGATCGGTGCTGGGTCCATTCTTTTTGTCAACGATGTAAATGATTTGTCAGTGAATATAGGAAGTGGGGGTAGTAAGTTTGCAGGTGACACCAAAATTGGTGGTGTAGTAGACAGTGAAGAAGGTTATCTCAGAGTACAATGGGACCTTGATCAGTTGATCAGATGGGCCAAGGGGCTGAGGAGTGGCAGATGGAGTTTAATTTAGATAACTGTGAGGTGTTGCATTTTGGAAAAGCAAATCAGGGCAGAACTTATACACTTAATGATGAGGTCCTGGGGATTGTTGCTGAACAAAGAAAGCTTAGAAAGCAGGTTCATAGTTCCTTGCAAGTGGAGTCACATTTAGACAGGGTAGTGAAGAAGGCATTTGGTATACTTGCCCTTATAGGTCAGTGCATTGAGTATAGAAGTTCGCATGTTATGTTGCGACTATACAGGACATTGGTTAGGCCACTTTTGGAATACAACATTCAATTTCGGTTTCCCTCCTGTAGGAAAGATGTTGTTAAACTTGAAAGGGTTCAGAAAAGATTTACAAGGATGTTGCCATGATTGGAAGGTTTGAGTTATAGGGCGAGACTGAATAGGCTGTGGATTTTTTTTTTCCCTGGAGCATTGGAGGCTGAGGGATGTCCTTGTAGAGGTTTATAAAATCATGAGGAGCATGGAGGGATGAATAGGCAAAGTCTTTTTCCCAGGGTAGGGGAGTCCAAAACTAGAGGGCATAAGTTTAAGGTGAGAGGGGAAAGACTTAAAAGGGACCTAAGGGGCAACTTTTTCATGCAAAATGTTGTGCAGGAAGGGAATGAGCTGCCAGAGGAGGTGGTGGAGGCTGGTACAATTGTAACAGTTAAAAGGCATCTGAATGGGTATATGAGCCAAATTCTGGAAAATGGGACTAAATTAATTTAGGATATCTGGTCGGCATGGACGAGTTGGATGGAAGGGTCTGTTTCTGTGCTCTACAACTCTATGACTAAGACTGTGAGTAACGTTGGAGCATTAATTCCATTAGTGTCTGAAGAACAAGAAGATGTAGCAAA